CGTGTTAAATTTGTTATACGTTCTCTGGAAGTTTTGCTATCGAATATACAAAAACAAGACAACTTGCTGCCTTTGTAAAAGTAACAATTCGGTTGGCATTACATCATAATTTTCAGAATGAGATGTATTCATCCTATTTCGTTTAGTAGGATAAAGAGACTGGTAGTTGAATATTCCCATAATAATATGATTAAACATGACGTCTTCATTGCATTTAACATGGCCTTATTTTTCCAAAAGTTACTCACATTCAGGCTGGAATGGACTAGGGTTCGATCTCGCCTAGTTCATGTCCGCACCACAAGCGGGACTTGATCACAAAATAAGTTACGTATTCGATTGCTATAGCAAATACAACTCTGATTCATCGACAATCCCACCACAGAATGTGATATGGAAAAATGCCTGGCCTTCCTTGAACTTCACATATATCCTGTGACCTAATGATGCGTGGCGTACTTGTTGTGTAGTAGTTGGTGTGTTGAAATTATATACTAAATGTCCTGCTGAAGGGTTTATAAGGGCTAGGTGAGGTCGAAAATTCAGTGCATTTTGGATTATAATATATTTTTGGAAAGCAAAGCTTTGAGATATTTAGTGGAAACGTGATGCTCATTCATATAATTGTGGGAAATTCACCTACAAGTGACCTTTACACTCTAAATGAACTATGATGAATTCATCTAATATATATTATCAAATTGTAATCTACATATAAATGTAATTATAAATAAAAAATTCTCCTAGTAGTATTTTGAACTTGTCTTTTGAAATTTTCTATTATTATTAGGGGGACCTAGAGGAACTCACCTTGTCCGGAGAGCATAGTATGTATGATAAGGGCCAAAGTCGAAGCCTGGCCTTGGTGCAATGCCAGCCATTTCAACGGCATCGCCCGTCTTGCCCGTCTTAGTAGCACACTATAAATCGTCAAAGAGAGAAGGAAAATTAGCACTTTGACCGATTATTTACTAAATTGTTGTGGTACTTCTCATTATGTCCTGGGGTTTTTACATATCATATATCATCTTAACGCCTCTTCACTATCATAATTTCCTATTTGCTTATCAAAACCTAGTTAACGAGTGCCGTTTTGAGCTAATTTAGTGAGACCTATTCCCACTTCCCATTGGCTCCCTCATCCTCCCATACTGTGGTAGAAGTGTTGTTCCGAGTCGACTCTATTAGTCCGTAATTATCTTCACCTATGTCATCAGTATCTTCCTCTTGCTCCGTAGGAGCCGTCTCTTATGTCCTTGCTTCAGGGATTTCATTCCACCGCTGCCAACCTATCAGTGCCATTCGAAGCTTTTTTTACCACAATCTGCCGGATGCCTTTGATAGCATACCTACTCCAGCCTCAGTAAGCGGGTTTACAAGATCGGGATTCTCAAGCTGGATGGAAGACTACCTTTAGGCTATACCTCTATTTATCACCATTCGAGATGTGTACCGGATAATCCTTATCGCGAAGCCTTTACTTCACGGATCACGACTATGTTCAAACACGTCTACTGTTATATGAGATGTCTCGAAACTCTACTTATATTCGCCTACTGTTAGCCAACTGGCTCTAGCCTGCGCTAAATCTATCGTGCTTCTATCCATAGTGCCAAGTCTATGACTTCCTATGCCCTAGTCTATTGTGGGTCGAGCCCTAAACGTTGTGGCTCTACTTGTTTTGACCAGGCAAATTGGTCGCATTATGATAAAAATTCAGATGAATTTCTCAAATTTGTGAACAAACTCGATCAAAGGATAAAATTCGCACTAGAGTTCGAAGAGAATGAGCAACTACCTAGCCTGAATTTTGAGGTTAGTCACTACAGCGGGAAACTTAATAGGAATCTATTCAGAAAGAAAATACATGCGGAAATTATTCACAATTTCTAGTTTTATCACAACTAAAGAATGAAGATCTGACAATGAGTGCTGGGATGGTAAGTTTGACAAACCGACTCGTATTTGCCTTAGTAACGAGTATATAAGAAAATTTAAAGAAATAAATGTAGAGGTCATATAAAGCAGATTTATACTATGAATTGATAGAAAATATGATCACTTATCGGGAGGACGACAACAAATGTGTATATGCCTGCCTTGCTGTGAAATGAGCCAAAGATTGCGAACGTTAGTGAGGAAATGGGATATCAATGCGATAACAAAGGAGAAGCAAACACTCTTTACCAGCCTTCCGACGCAGCAACCGAAGGTCGAGAAACTTGATTGCTAGG